GTTATGGAAAAACCAACGCTCAAACTGTGGTGAAAATCTTAATCTGTCCCTGAATTTAAGTTCGAGGGATTTCAAAGTGAGTAATCGTTTGATCTTTGTCAATTGAATTTATTTGTTAAATCGAAACTTGTAGTAGCAAAAAAATTGAACACAATTTTTTTTTGTTCCCTCGTTTAGTAGCTGAAATGGATTCAAGTTTTCTTTGAAAGGCTTATTTTGTTAAACTTAACAACCTTTTCGAACATTCGTGTCGCCAGCAAATTATAACAAAACTATTCATACTGCAAATGGTGTTCATGATTTCAGAGTGTAGATGAAAAGTGTTTTGAGTGCCGAACTGTGATGCGGCTATAGTTTTCCTACCAAGCTCCACTTCTGTCAGAGAAAAATTCCAATTAGGACAAACGTCTTATATTTATGTTCTTTGCAACTTTTTTGCCATATCAATTGGCAAGCTAATTGACATTTTAGCCATTTTTTACTATTTCAAAAACCGGCAAGGTTTTTAATTGGCAAAAGGCTACAAATCTCTTTTTCTTACTATTCCACTTAAAAATTATTATGGTTTTTTTTGTTTGAATCCGTTCTAAGAACGCTTTAAGCAGTTGAGGTTCTTGTCTCACTTACGAAAAAAAAATAAAAATTCTCATACTCGACTTTAATTCAAAACGGTTGATATTTTAAGCACAAAACAATTTATAACAGTCGCACTGTTAAAGGTTTTGCTTTAATAGGAGCACTCTTGTTATCATAAAACTCTAATAGAGAAGACGAATGAGCTGATTTTTTTGTCCTGCGTAAAAAATTGTCATGATTCTATTCTTATCATTCGAAACCTAAAAAACTAATCATGAAAGTCGATAAAAATTTTCATTATGATTTTTAAAAATACGATTGTTCATATTGTTTCCGCCATATTTTTCCCTATGAACGCTCTCAAGTGACACAAAAGTATTTTTTTCATTTAATAAAATAATTGCCGCTAAAAATTTCCATCGAGATCAAAATTCGAGAAAATTGGAAATTTAACTTGTTGTTCTGACCATTGAAAATGGGGAAGATACTTTGTATTCTTGTGAGTTTTACAGAAATTTTTTGTCTAAGATCCAGCGAGTAAATTTACGCTTATTTATGCTTAATTTAGCTCGTATACAATAGCCTATCTCTGCTTAACTTTATTTTTTTTTTCACAGAAAAATAGTGTTTGGAGATTTGGAATCATTAATTTCTAAAATTCAAACGAAAACTTAGCAAAAAAAAACAAACGATTTTGAAAAAGATATTTTAAACTCTTTTTTGTTTCTCTCCTCATTTTTCTTCAACAATGTTTTCTTGTTTTCCTAATTTGTTATGACTGACAAATATGCCTAAAAAACAGTTTTATGTCAGATCTTTTTTATCACACCACAAAGAACAAACTACACTAATTTGAAAAAACAATCATTTTTACTTGTTTTTTTAGGGGCTTTGGTGGGAAATTTTTGTGCTACTTGCACAGTAACCAGCTATTTTTGCTTATGAACATTTGTGCTTAGATAGCAAGAGCTGGGTCGTGCAAATTGTCAAAAAAGCTCTCCTGCAGTGTACAAAAAAATTACGATGGGGTAAAATATACCACTTATAATTTCTAAAATCACCCATTATGGGCAAACTTTGGATTAATAAACAATCGTTGAATCGTTAAAGCTTCAAGTCAAATTATTTTTCTGTGCAATTTTTTTTAAAAATGAATCGTTTTGGAAGGGGTTAGACCAAGCACAAACCATAAACGAATTAAGTTGACTTTTAATTATATTGAAATTCTTTCAGATTACTTCGAGAAAATGAGCATTTAATTTTTGAGCACTTTAGATTAGAAAGAATCATACTATAAGCTCTTCAAATTAAGCAATTAGATGAAACTATAAGTAATTTTTTTGTTTCTATCAAGTGATGATTTAGGAAAAAAAACGCCACAATTCACAAGATTGCCAAACGTACGCTAGGCATTTTCCCAAAAAAATCTTTTTCCTCATGCATCACAAGAAAGTAATGAGAGAAAAAAGTTCAAAACTGTTGCAGGACTTATTCAGCAAAAGTTTCCAAAAAAAGAAATTCGATAAAAAAGTTTGATGAAATTCGAAGAAAAAATTCGATAAAAAAGAAATTCGATGATTCTGTAGTGAGTCAAAATGATCTTTTATCTATAATTTTTTTCAAAGGAACGAGTTGATGGAAAAACCAACGCAAGCAAGAATTGAGCTCAAATTGTGGTGAAAAAAACAAGGAATATTCAAACACGAACTTTCAACCGGCCAAAGTGACCGCAATGTTAGCGGATTTAAGGAAACTTTCTTTTGCTGAAAACTTTATTAAAGCAAAAACTTTAACCTAATGAGTGGAATCGCTTTAAGTGATTTGTTGAAAATTGTAAAATTACTACTTCTCAAACAACAAGACTAATTGAATAAGTTTGCTTCCATGCTGATTGTTGAAAATTTATGCATTGAGACTCAATATTGTTTCTACTGTTTCGTTAGGGAATTCAGAATTTTTTTTAATTTGGGTTAACTCTTAACTCAACTAATTTACCAATTTCAAAATAAAAAAAAATACATTTTTCCGATCTAAATTTTTGCTTCAGAAACTTATACTTAGGGTAAACATAAAAAAGAACTTAATCAGATTCATAGTTTTTGATGCTGTTTGCTTAACTGTAACAAACAAAAGATGAAGGAGCTAAATTTGTTTCGGATTGGTAAACTATGATTGAATTAATGCAGTTTTCAAAATGGAAGATGTTGGACCACACAAAGACCATAATAACTGAGTTTGATGGGGAAATTTTAGTTGAAAGTCTTTCTAATTTGGAAGATGGTGGAGCAAACCAAAACCGGAAAAATTGAGTTTGATGGGAATATTTAGGTTGAAAGTCTTTCTAATTTTTCTTCGAAAAAATGAGACTTTAAAATTCTTCTCACTTTTTATTACAATTTTTCGCTTAAAAGGAATCGTACGTACAAAGTCCTGACTTTAAGCAATTAGATGAAACTATATGTGTTTAGGCAATTATACGTTTAAGTATGTTTTTGGTTTCTATCAAGTGATGATTTAGATGAAGTTATAGATAATTTAAAGAGTTTGAGGAGAATTTTTTGATCATAAGGCTGCTTTAGACTTAAAAAACTGATCGGTTAACCGAAACAGTTTTTTCCCATCAAAGCTTCTTTTTGGTGTATAATTTGCTGCAAAATGAGTTTTCGTGGAAAAGATGAATGAGGAATCTGCTTTCTTAGATTTGAAGTTCCCATGAACAAAATTATCTTATAGTCTGTTTCAGAAATTATTTGGAGAAAATAAAAAGAGCAATTAGCTTTTTTGTGTGAAATTTTTCGATCTTTATGCGGAATCAGATGTTTAATGTTTCTATTATTAATCTGGTTAACTTTATTTCATTGGAAAAATTTGGAAGAACAATAAAAGTTTTGAGAAACTTTTTCAAATAATTGTCATCTGTGCGTATTTCTATCTGTGCTTGATCTTCGATTTAAAACTGATATGTTCTTTGAAATTAACAATTTCGATGAGAGATACCCTTGTTTCATATATAAGCTTTGATTAGTTTCAATTCTGTTTCGTATAGAAAAATAAATGAAACAATGGAGTTATTGATTAACTTTTCTAATTACCCGATTTTCTTGCATATTCCTATCTGTTTTTGCGGGTAAAACCAAAAAAAGGGTTATGAAGAAAAATTGTAAAATATTAAAACAATTTTATAAAGCTCTGCTCAACCTTTTGGTCAGCAAATTTCCAAATCAGAAAAATTTCTAAGCAGGTTCTCAATTTTTAATTTTGATATGTG